CGAGGAGGAGTCAGCTTGCGCTCACAACAGGTGAGGGGTGGGATCTTGATGAACCTCGGGGATCCGATGCTCGGAAGGAATGCAACGGCGAAAGTTAGGGATGTCGCGGTGAAAGGCCGGGGACAATAAAACGGACAGACACGCGGACAGAACCGACAGACGGACAAGGGGCGAGGAAGACGGAAGACCGGTGTTCCGGTAATCGATTACGGTGTGCTTGCAAGTGGGACGAAGTATAGGGAGGGGAACGGATGGAAGACGGGGTGAACGAAAACCGGGATAGCAAGAAGACCTGTTTAAAGCGTCGTTTAATTTTCCTTCATGAATCATTTAGAATATTCTTCTACCCTCCGCTGTTCCCGCTATTGCCCGTTCTCTTTCGTTCGCTCCCGATTCGCGAGTGACGTCTGCCCGAGCGGCAAGTTTCCCTGCTCATTACACGGCTAATATATGTATATCCGTCTATCGTTTAAATATTCACGAGGGTTCCGGTGTGAGAAAGATTCGCGAGGCAGATACGGGAACCCTACATACCAGCTGCCCCTTTCTGCCATTCTACGCCCCTCGTCCTCTTCCTTTTTTACCCGTCCTTCTCTCATCTTCGTGTCCGTCCTTGTATGTACAACGGCTTCCGTATCCGTCCCGGCTGACTTGGGAGCCGAGGAACAGCTAAGGGGATGGAAGGGAAACACGAGTGCTTGCCTTTGTGGACCCTCGTCGTTCACAGGCTCTCGCGTTTCGGGGATCGCATGGAGCGTTTCGTGGCGGTTTTTGGCGAAGACGCGGTGCCTGGATAGATGGTCGTTCATTCATAGTTCTCGAGATAAAAATACAGAAACGCTGGCGAACTAAAGTTGAAGGATAGACACTCGATCGAGAGTTCTTTCATAAATGTGGAATGGCTGGCGTGAAAAATCGGCGGTATCCGCGATAGTTTACACAGCATCGCAGCTTCTCGGCAAGATAATGGAAGCCTCTGTGCCGAGAATCACGGGAGATAAGGAATTTGAGAAATTTTCTTGTTGCAGAGATTCGTGTCAATGACCGGTACTTTGCTCGCGCGATTATGCCACGCTTATATTATCGATATCGGTCCCGGGACTCGAAGAGAGACTTTTTATCGAATTATTAGTTTCGAAATTGCGCTATGGCCGACGGACAATCTTCTGGCATCCTTTCAATTCCGGTCGTATAATGGAGACGACAATGTTGACAGCGCGTAATATACTTTTCATGGACTCGCGCGGTTCTGATAATGGTCGATGGACCCTGTCCCTTATCGTTCGGCGAATTACGACCGGTTGGATAAGCGCGACTCGGATCGTCACGACTATCTCTCGATATATAATGCCACTTTTGTTGCGTCAGACGTCCGCGTTAACTTTACGCGATTCATCGCGCGTCAAATATGAATTTCGATGCGTGCAAAACGCGCGCATAATTCACCGGCCAATAAAACGTTGGTGGTACACGCTGAGCCGAATATTAATTACGGATAGAACCGCGATTACTCAGGTCGGTATTGCGGTGCGCGGAGCACGTCGCTGTTCGTTATCGGCACCGATAATTTTAACGAGCGTGTAATTAACCAACGATACGCGCGTTCGTAAGTCACGAGTTTTTCGCACCGTGCTGTCTCTGTTTGGAGACGGAAAACGGCGCACTCGGAACGATCCGGAATTTTATCAACGCGGCAACTTTCCCGTCAGATATCGATTGTACAGCGGTCTTCGTTGGGTACGACGTGCCGAAAAAGAGCAAACGAAAAATATCGCGAGACAACGAGGTCGATCCGAATTTCTGGAACGGTCCACGTGGATCGCGTGGATCGCGTGGTTCGCAAAAACCCTTCCAGACCGAACCGTATTACCCGCTCGTCGCACGCTCGAATAATTATACCAAAACATCGTACGCTGTTTCGTTTCGGTGCACCGTGCAAAAACGCGGTTTCGTTCTTTATTTCGTTTCGCGCTACCGGTATGCACCGATTACCCCCTTCCCCTCCCATCGCTATTTTCACGCCCGTACGCAGCGTGTCGGTGGTAGGATGGGAGATTTTTTCCACGTCGACTTTTCTAACGCGGGAAACAACGATCAGCCACATTTTTAAATTAGCCACCGCTATAACGTCGGCTGCGGTAACGCGATTTTTACGCGCTACCATTTACATGTTTCATGACGCAGAAATAAGTATAGTAACCTTTATTGCACGGCCGAATCCGTCCGAATTAACGTCATAAATAGCGACATCGATCGAGGTAACCGCGTATCCGGAACCTCGGCCAGATTTTTACCCTTTTCGACGGTGACCAAAGCCAAGATATACTTGCCCAGGCTTTAACTAATATTTCAGACCCCTGTCTTCCATTGTCTCCCAAGGTTTCCGTCAATTTACTCCCTATTGATTTATTCCGCCACGTAGCCGCGTAGTCTGCGATTTTCCTCCAAAAAACCTGTTGGCGTGTTCCGCGCTGGGCACGAATGAATTTTAATCACGCCATTCCGCGAATGCAATTTGTACACGAGGGGGTGAAAGCGTAATGTCTTCTCGCGAACGACTGCATCGAGGGAATGTCGTCGCTTTGATAAAAATTAAACCGTGTTCTCGTACGAACCTCGATCTGGGCGTGTCTCTCGCCGTCGAACATTCGCAAACATTCGCGAACAAAAAGTTTGCTATACCCCGTTTTACGACGTCGATAATCCAGCGGGCGATAACGCGCGCGAGAGTGTCGCGAACCCTGCCCTCGCGATTTTTCGCTGGTGTGTTGTTACTCGTCCGTAGAAAAGAAGCGCGAGGTCTGGTTCGTTTTCTGCTCGCAAGAAACAAGCGCATCGATCCGAAAAACACGGCACACCGAGTATTCGAACTTTGAGAAGCAGACGACAACTCGTGCCTTCTTGTCAGGTCACGGGGTGGATCGCCGCCCAGCTCGCTATCTCGTCGCTTCTCTTCGAAACATTCCCTTTTGTGTCGCGCGACTCCGAATTTTATGAAACTGAGATTCGCGATTATTTTAATCACGAAGGAATTCCAGGGAACAGAGAGATACCTTCGACACGGGGAAATTCTCAGGAAACACCGGACGTTGATTCTGTGAAAAGAATTCCTGCGAGAGATAACGGCGACTCGCATGAATATTAAAGAGCATCGTAATCGCGAGGTGTTTACACGGAATTAATTCGTCACGATTAAAACACGGTACAACGGTCGTTAGACCACTTAAGATCCCGACCGGCGAACCAGAACACGTCCCCGGAGGTACCTCAACCATACGCGAGTACTCGAAAGATCGTTTACGCGTTTATTGCTCAGGTCCGATGTCCCTGGCCGAGTTGCGACACTTTGGTCACCCGGTAGAGTGGCACTCATGCATATGGAAGTTCTCGGTGACACGTCTGCATCCTGCCATGCAGGCCGTGGCCAGTATCAGAAGTGTGAGATAGCTCTTCCTGTGCGGCTCTCGGCCGGCCCCTGCCGGCTTTATCGCGGCTCTATTAATTACCACGATCTGCCATAAATTCAGAGTAATAGTTAGGATTTACTCGAGACAGCGAGCAGGTTAAACGATCACATTAAATGCACATAGTTGCGAGAAATAAGGGACTTCTCTGTCAGGTAATTACGTGGGATAAACGGCGCGGTATTTCAGGAAGGGCTTCTTCTGGCTGTCTTTAATCTTTCGTGCCTTTATCGCGGCATTACGTCCGTTGCGCAACTTCTTCGTCGCTGTTGCACACGCTTATATACCATATCCACGCGGCGTGTATACTTGTTATTTTGTTTTATCCGTCGCGTCGTATCGTCCCCCCGAGATTTCGTAGACTCCACGTCCGGGGGATTGAACTCTCCGATCGAGTAGCTCGGAGTAGGATCTTCCCTTGTAAATACTTAAGACCGGTGGCTTCCAGCGATGGCGGCTTAGAAGCCGTTCTAGTTTCAACCTTAATCACGTCCTAATGTAAAAAGCGACGCGACTCGCGACGGAGATGGCCGAGAGGTCGAAGTTTAAACACGGGCGTCGCAGGTTTTTCGTGGAAACGAGGGGATAGTCGCGAACCGAACGTTTCTAAGGTATCTAAGGCCGCGGACCGCGCTATATATTGCACTTTTCAGCAACGGCGCGAACACCTCCCGCTTTGTTTCGTCTCCCTAAATTCTCACACTCAGGCAAGCACGTCTTATCCGGAGAAGGAACAAGGGGTCTCCTCGAACGCTTTATGCTTCGAGACAAAACGCTTTTGAAAAGTTTACACGATGGTCCTTGTCAGCCCTTGTCGTGCTCGCAGTCACGAAGGGATGATACCGGTAGTCCGTGGAAGCCGATTACTCAGGTTCACCCGGTGTATTATCCGTGTGAGAGATACCTAAGACGTCGAGAGGCTTTTGTATTCGCCACTCGCCGCGATGTTGTATATGCCATTGAAATTTCATGAGATGGAGAACTGGCGTATTGTTAACATTGTCCACTTAATAGCCATAGAAGTTCCTGTCGTGGGTGAAAGGGGATCTCGCATACCGACAGCCTTCCTTCCGTGTGTACCAGCGATACCGTAGCGATATTCCTTCGAAGATGCCAAGTAAAACTATCCTTAATACGCTTGTCTGACATCACCTGTTCGTTTCTACTAGCTTCGTTTTCAGTCGGCATGCATCCCGTATCGCGTATATTTGCCGAGAGAAAAGGACGAACGAGATGGCGGGAGGGGGCGGAGGCTAAAGAAAAAAGGAGGTACAGCAAGCGGGTGGATGGAAAGGATAGAAGGAAATAAGAGAAGCTTGAGCAAATGTTTTCAATACGTTGCATAAATCGCGTGTTTCTTCGTAAATTGAAATGGAAATGCATATAACCGTACGATATGGAAGCGGCTTTATTGTTCCATTCTTATTCTAGCGATGTTCCTGTGGTGCCTTTCCTCCTTTATATCGCGGACGAGGAGCGCGATATCGATCCGCAACGGGAATTTCTTTTAACTTGGACCATCCTTTTTCCTTACAGATGTCATCGTCCTAGAGATAGTCTGTTCTCCTGGAGCTCGGGCTTCGACAACTTCACGGGATTCGTCAACTGGGGCTTCCTGCTGTTGGGCATCGGTGGAATCCGATTGCTGCTCGAAAATTTCATAAAGTGAGTGTACACCGAGAATCTTGATAGAACCACCGTCTTATCGGACGTATCGCCAACCACGCGTGATCGGATTCGTTGAAACTCGAACCTCGCCGTTCCGGGGTTCACGATGCTCGACGCGCGTGTCGTGGCGACACCGGAAGTCGATTCATGGGATTTACGACGAACGAAAGGGGCACGTGGGTGGGGGGGGGGAGGGATATCCGCGAAAAATCTCGTCGTCCAATTATTTGTAGCAATTTACCTGGCCGGTCGTCGGCGTAATTTATCAAAAAACCAGTGTCATCTCGTGACACTGATGTCTTTATCCGCTGCAAAGATACCCGAAGCCTGAGCGTTCGATGTGTCCCTCGGGTATTTTTTTGCCGGGCGTACGCGCGAGAGGGGTTATCGAAGCGTAGACCGCTCGATCATGCGACTGGTCAAGGGACGAAGCTGGAAAAACACGAAGGAAAGCCCCTAAATGCGGACGGTTCCGCTCGAGCCTCGAATAATACCGCAAAAGGGGGCGGGAGGAGGTGAGAGATGTCGGAGGAAACGACAACTTCATCAAGCTGTCACGGGGCCTCGAACGGGGGGGAAAAAGCGGATTACGGGAGAAAAATAAATTGAATTAAACGTCGATTAAACAGCGCCGCGACGATCGAACGACGGATAAATTTTGGTTAATTAGCGGACCTGGTCAATGGAGCGAATCTCGAGACGCGACGGGAAAGATTCTCCCGAAGAGAAGTTTTTCGTCCGAAATTCGGACACGGTGGTAAAAACAAAAAGGGGATCGATCGGGTCGATGGTGAAAAATGAGATTTCCCCTGTCGTTCCGGCACAATGTAGAATTCCAGGCTGGACCTATTCACGTCAGTCTCGTCGGAAATCAAAGTCACCGTGACAGCCTAATCTATTTCGATAACTACATCATTATCGATGGCGGTTCTGGCCTCGATAAAACCTTTGTGTCGATTATAAAGGTTATTATCAGAGATACACGAACGGGCACATTAATTAACACGTAAAAGCGCGAATATAATTCAAGCTTGTTAATATGTCAATAACATTCGCGGTTTAATGCGTTTCTCAATTTCGCGGAATCTATTCACCGGCGGGTCAAATTTCAATTCAATTATCGACACGATTTTCGGCAGAGCTCAGCCGAAGGTGGGACGTGCTTTTCGAATTTCAGATGTTCGCCAACGCGGGGCGGAGTCCGGCTAAAAATTAATTAATTTACGAACAGACGCGAAGGAACGGAGCCGGCCCGTCGGCTTGATTAAAATTAACAGCGTGTCGCGAGTCCGATCTCCAACTCAAGATCTCGCCACGCGAAAGACCCACACCCTCTGCTCCTTCCTCGTTCACCAATTTTCTGCCCGTTGAATGGAGAAGGCCGAAGTACAAGCCCGGCCCATGAATAATTTCAACGAGATTTTTATCGCCGTTGTAAACTCTCGGCCCAGGGTCCGCGCCGGCTCCTGGGAGCGCGTAACAGAAATTTATCACGCTCGTTAAGCGTGGAAAAACTTTCGAAAGAAACTTTCGCGACGTAATTGCTCCGACTAGTCTCGAAACGTTTTCTGAAACAAACGCGGCTGCAGGTCACCGGAAGACTCGTCGAACGATCGGTGCAAGTGATTCTTCCACGCGTGACTAGACACGAGAATCGTCCTCGAGACGATCAACACGAGACCGGTCAAACTATATTCCGCGATCGTAGTTCAGTCGAAGCTTTCCACCGACTCTTACGCTTTCGAGGTATCGTGTTCCTTCGAACACCGGAAGCGTCTTTGAGGAAAATTTTCGGTACCGATTTTGAATCCAAGTTCAATCGCCATGGGTGCGACCGTAGGGATAATCGCGATGAGCACGTTCGAGATCGTGTTTGTAAAGTGGAGAAAAAGGGGTACAATTGGGCTAGGAAGTCGGTGCATGCTTCTTCTCCAACGGATTACCATCTATTTAGAAGTCCGTGGAACTTTGCCGAGGGAGAGTGACTCGGTCGGGAAGTGTCGAAATAGTTTGAAGTAGTTTACCGGATTCAAAAGCAGGTAGCCTCCCCGGATCGTGATAAACTGGGTCTCAGTCGAGACTTTTTCGTCGTTAAGTACGGTGTACCTCGGTAAGTCGAAAGTCGATTAAAAGACGCGGAAAAAGAGGTCGCGACGGCGGGGTTAGGATGAAAAGCAAGCGACAGTCGCGCTGTTTCGAATATCGTTCGACCGACGATAATTTACGATCGCATCTGGTCGGGGTATCGGCACGAGCGCCTTCTTAATTTCACCCTGCTCCGCGATAATTGAATTCGCAAGAAATCTGTTCCTCAGCGAAGAAACGGATACGAGAAAAAGCGTTCGTTTGTCGAGTCACGAGAATGGGACGAAGCGAGCAACGCGATTTCACGGCGATCGAGATTAATCGACGCGGAGAAACGTGGGAGGAGGTAGATGGAGCTTGAAAGAGACACGGCAGTAAGAAAGTGGGAGGACGTTTCTCTGCGAAGTGAAAAAAAAGTAAGAAGAGAACTCAATTAATCGGACTCTCGGCGAAGGACTCCGGCTCTATCGATAAAAGTCCATGGAAAGGTTTGGAGATAGACAGAGGTATCGAAGTTTCGCCCCCGCTCTTGTCCTTTCGCGTAGCGGCGTTCGGGAAACTTTTTGAAAGGTCCACGATCTGCTCATAATTTATGCACTTAAACTGAAACTGTAGGGGAGCTTCGTGCGATTCTTAATGGGTCGAGTTTACGGAGACGCGAATCGTGAAACGGCAAAGATGCAATCGAACGAGGAAATAAGACCGACGCCTTTCTGTGTTTAACATCCCTCGCGGAAATTGCTACATTCGGGTGAGATCAAAGCGAATTTCGAGTAAAAACCAGCAAACTCGTTACGGAATTGTATCGCAAACATTGATACGTCGCGTCCCATCGACGTTCCATGCTGTAAACACGAAGGTTAAATTTACAACTATCTTAATTTATCTTAATTTACGTAACAATGCGTAGCTCTCAGCTTGCAATCATTTCCCAAAGATTTTTCTTTGGAAAACGATACCAATTACCAGGTCTCACTACGCGGAGGTGGCTACGCGTCGAGACCCAGACATGCGCCCTAGTGGCGCAGCCTACTGGTACTACCTGTGTCAAAGGTACCCAAATCTAACTCGGAGCGAATTAAGTTAGTGACTCTACTGACACTTTATTACAATTAGTGTCTTACGAGTTTGCGATTATTCGAAAGAATAGCAGGCCGACTAGCCTACGCGACACACTCCCGTGTACAAGACAACTCCGGCCACAACACCCTCCCGATCGGGCCTTGCCCACCCTGCCACCGCCGACCTCGCCATGGCTTACTCGATGACCTAAGGCAGCCAACGAACCAGGGAAACACCCAGAGTCAATCCGAGGGTCCTATGCGAGGCCTAACAGTCGGAATCACGCGCATGCTCCATACCCCGGCTTTATGCAAACATAACCACATAGCCGCCAAGTGCTAGAGGGGCAGGCAGGCACGCTCTTGCAATGATTCCGACTGCAGGGCCCATCCCCCGGTCGTGTGCACGGATTGGCACCCAGGACGACTAAGGTCGACGGACCCTCGTGTTGCACCAGATGCCTCCCCAGCCCGAGGACCACCAGAGATCCCGACGCATGACGAGATTGACGGTGGCAGAAATGAGTATCGGAGTCGAGCCATGAGAATGACTTACGAGGCGTGGAGTTATCGTGTACACGGAAAGTACGATATCTTGAAAAACCTGAAAAGCTGAAAAGAAACAAATTAGTAAAAGATTAGTAAAACATAACAAAATCAAAACGAATGTAAACCATAAAGATGAATTAAATGGAATGGACAACCCAACAATGAGACATGAAGAACCCAACGATGAGATATGAACAACCCAACGATGAGACATAAATAACCCAACGATGGGACACTCGAATATTCTACGAAATATTCGAATTATCAAATAAGAATAAATAACATCTGGAAAGAGAAAAAATAATTAA